GGGTGACTTGGTGATGGGAAACCCACGAGGATTACAATTGAGATGAAAAAAATGTACAAAATGATGTAAAAATAAACTATTATAATAAAAAAACTAAGATGTTTAGGTCCTCCTCAGTGTTAAGTCTCTGTACTATCAATACTACAGCTGGAGTTCCATTCCAGCCAGGGAGCTGACCCACACATAGAGCAACAGACCTCTCCTGCTTGGCTGTGTCCCTTAGCAGTGTATTTCAGTAAATCTTCCTGCTCATTTCTGGTAAATCCTCTCACACATAAATGCCCCCGCCCCCCCCCACTCCACCTCTGGCCTAAATCCCAGTGCTATGAAAAAAGAAAGAAAAAAAATCAAGATGTTTACAGTGCTGAAAATATAAATAAAACAACTTTTTTTAAAATGTGCTCTGAATTTTATATATATATATATTTCAATCTAGCTATTTTAAAATATTACTTCATAGCATTTAGATTACATTTTTAAAAGAACATTAGTCAAATATATTTGAAAAGGACTTTTTAATAATTAGATATATGATCAGTGTTCAAAGATTTTTGAATTACCTGTTTTATAAGTTTGAAAAGAATTCTAAGTTTATAAATATGTAGAAACATGTAAATATGTAGAGAATTCGACAAGATTTGTGAGTACTAATAATCTAAAAGTAAGCCCAGGCAATTTACATTACCTTCATATAAGTGAACTTACTTCAACAATTATATACAATTTAGCTGTTTATATGAAATAAAACCTTTCTTTCCTGGGAACTAATAGGAAAAACAAATTTAATGGATATCAGCAAATGCTAATAGATGTTTCTGAACAATAAAATTTGATTTTATGTAAAATACTTAAAATCACTTGAACAGAGAACATAATTGTACAGACTTGAAAAAGTCTTGTATTCCAGGGTAGTAAATGCCATAGAGGAAACAAACAAAAAGAGAAGAAGCTAACACAAGAGATTGGGAGCATTGGCTAAATTTGCAAATAAATTTTTAAAAGTTGATGGCATTT